GGACGTCATAGAGCCTCTATGTGTGTCTGTGTGTGTCTATATAGATATATAAAAAGACGAGAGTACTGGGCGAGATCATTTCTTTTCCATTGGGAGCCATGTCGCTATTAGACGTTTTTCCAACTCAACGGATTTCGAACGGGGAGGATTTGAAGACGCTAAAGCAAATCTCCAACTTGAAAATTTTTTTGGCGTGTCATTGTGCGACATTTATTCCGCATTTACCACCTCATCAAGCGATCGTTTCTTTCAACCAAGATGTCGAATCCTCCAACCTGCTCGTTCAGAATATATACAGAAATTTATTCGAATCGCAACAAACGAAAGAGGAATCTCCCTTCTCTTGGAATCGGATGGATCGAGCTTTGAGACGGCCCATTCAAACAGACCGGCGATATACAGATCCGCGCACGAGTTTTCGGTGGAAGAATATTTTTCTCACGAAACGATATTTTACGTTTGGAGTGAGAACGACGGCTGAGGACGAAGTTCATATTGTTCAAACCACAGCCGCTCCTCTCGCCTATTACGAATCATCGTCCCCCAATCTGAAGGAAAGAAGTTTTAAAGTCAGCGACAGGATGAAATATAAGAAATATATTCTAAGACCTTTTCAAAACTATGTCGTTCCCCCGAAAACGCAATATCTCATCGTCACAACCCAGAAGAGTCTCTTTCTCGTCGATCGGTGCTCGTACTCGCTTTGGAAACAATTGAAAGAGGAGATTTCTTTCCAATCGCCGATGATGTTTCAAGAAAAAGAAGAAGAAAACCCTCCGCCACCTTTACCCATCCCTTCCTTAGATGATAAGAGGAGCTGGACCAAACCGTCATGGCCCGAAACAAAATCGACCCGGCAACGGAATGAAATTGAAGTCATCACAATTGAAGATGAGGAGGAAGAAAAAAAATTACCTCTTAAAAAACGGTCGACTTACCGGAACCTACCTGGCGTGCAAGATCCGCTTCAGAATCCAGAAGCTTCTTCTTCTTCTTCTTCCCCGACTTGTTCCAACAGGCAACCTCTTTTGGACTCCTCACAGACAGAACCTCTTCCAGTATCCTCTTCTTCTTCTTCTTCTTCTCTAACCTGTCCCGACATCGTAGAGGTAGAATGTCAGACGGGTCCACAAGCTTCAAAAAGTCCCGACATCGTAGAGGTAGAATGTCAGCCGGGTCCACAAGTTCCAACAGGTCCAGAAATCATGGAGGCAGAATCACAGCCGGGTTCACAAGTTCCAACGGGTCCAGAAATCGTAGAGGTAGAATTTCAGCCGGGTAAACAAGTTCCAACGGGTCCAGAAATCATGGAGGTAGAATCGCAGCCGGGTCCAGACATCCTAGATCCCTCCACTCATCCCAAAGAGACTCCAAGTGTTTCAAGACAGCCTTGTGAGGATCCAGCCCTTCCCGTATGGAATGATTATATGGACTTACAAAATTTGGTGCAACAGGAAGGAGAAGAAAATAATCATACGGATGGGTGGGTCAAAGACTGTTTAGATCATTTAACCTCGAATGAAATTGAACTGTTATGGAATTGCATTTCTGAAATCACATCGGAAATGGGATAAAAACCAAAACAAAAAAAAACAATTTTTTAATAACAAATTGGAGGAGGGTCATGATGTCAATTAAAAAAAATATTATATAGAGTCCAATCTTGGTGGTTCACTTCAGTTTTCCAGCATGAGGTGATCCACGTTTCCCGAAATATGGATCCCATTCCAAGAGAGATTGTGTAGAGCCTTCACTTCAGTTCTTTTTTTTTTCCTACCAAGAGGAGAGGGTCCCCAAAGGGCTACCCATGTCCAAAGAGAGAAAGTGTAGAGCGTTCATTTCAGTTTTTTTTTCCAAGTTTAGGGGAGGGAGGTCTCAAAATGACACCCCCCCATTTTCAAAGAGAGATGGTGTAGAGCGTTCATTTCTGTTTTTTTTCCAAAGTTAGGGAGTTTTCAAATGGCTACCCATTTCAGAGAAGAGAGAGAGAGAGAGAGAGAAGGTGTAGAGCGTTCATTTCAGTTTTCCAACATTAGAAGGTCCCAAAATACCTTCTGAATTCAAAGAGAGATCGTGTAGAGCGTTCATTTCCAGTTCTCCAAGATCAGAAGAAGAGGGTCCGCTTTTCCCAAAAGGGCTTTCCGCATTCAGAGACAGCGAAATGCAGACTTCAGTTTTCTCCCTCCCCAAGAATAGAGGGTCCCAAAATGGCTTCCCATTTCAAAGAGAGAGGGAGAGGCGTTCATTTCCATTCTCCAAGATAGGGTCGTCTGCTTTTTCCCAAAATGGCTTCCCAATTCAAAAAGAGAGAGAGAGAGAGTAAAAGGGTGTGTAGAGCGGTCATGTTCATTCTCCAAGATAGGGTCGTCAGCTTTTTCTCAAAATGGCATCTCCCCATTCAAAAAGAGATCGTAACCAATTTTTTCCAGTTTTTTCCAAGATGGGGGGGAGAAGAAAACCTAGGATGGAATAACACGACACACAGAGAGAAAGAGAAAAAAAAAAAAAAAAACGCCATCTTGTCATTTTCTGATAGGGTACCGGTGTTCGAATACTTTTGTGACCGACTGTACTTGGCATGCGCACAAGCCCGGTACCAGCATTTTTGCCGATTTCGTAAGGCAGGCGGTAGGAGAGCGAATTGTTAACCTAACTTAGCAATAGAAGGTTGTTAATTCCCAGCAAGAGAATAATTTGAAGTAATAATTATCGTTGCAAAGCGAAGTCAATCTATATACATGATAATGTTCAGGAAATGATTAGATAAAATAGGGATTTAATGATGGTTCTAATTGCAAGCGAGGACGAGTAATTAGTTAAAAAATCTTTAACGTATTGACAAGAAAGGCTACAGAAATTACTTAAATTATTTTATTTAACAGAGGAAATTTTTTATGCAAACTTAGACCCTTATGTTATAGCATAGGACTGTCAGAATTTATTATTCAATAAGAAAACTTACTGAAAATGATAATATTCTTATATATTCATCACTTTTTCAGTATCCACTCAGGTTTACAATTTCAAATGCCATATTTCAAAATCAAAGTTATGTATGAAATAAAACCTTACAAAATCTGATAAATCATTTGTGTGTGCAAATTTTTAAATCTAAATCTCTTACATTAAATTATTTCTGTCTTTTAAATTACATCCCATTATTTATTTCAGTTTAATTGATTAATGTGTTTGTATTAATATTTCAAAGTTCTTTGAAGCACTTTTTGTGTCTTGAAAATGCAAAGTATTTTCATAAAAAAAAATAATCAGGCATGCAGAATAATTGATTTAATAGTTCATATAATCGCTTTTAACTTATTTCATGTCTAAATTTTCTACACAGAAATCTAATTTTTAGTATCTTTTATCGGACGAAACTTTTCAAAGAGGAATGAATTAAAGGCTTGATTGAGGAAAACACATCTTTAAAGCTAAATGTATTCTAAGAAGTACAAAAAATGTCAACACGATTTTGACCCCCCTTTAAATCAGTCATTTAAACTATTTAAACCGTTCAGGAAAAGGATAAACATTGCGAACATATTAAATCTGCCCTTTTTTATATTCACTTTAATAAAAGGAAATATGTTCCTTTTTTTTATAAGAAAAGGAACCCATTTTCCATTCTAAACTTTTAAAAGTCGCCAACGCGTAAAATTTGATTAACTGCGCCAAGGTAGAAACCCGCCTTTGACAACTCAATGCGCATGCGTCGTTAATGTTGGTGCGAATACCTTAAGCGGCTAATCGCACCGAAGCTATTCGCACCACCATTAACCACGCATGCGCATTGAATTGTCATATCCGTAACGGATTCCACGTACGCGAACTGCCCGAATTTTTTTTTTTTTTAAAGGCGGGTTACTACCTTGGCGTAGTTTTTAAGCGTTGGCGACTTTCAAAAGTTTAGAAAGGAAAATGGGTTCCTTTTCTTATATATGTAAAAAAGAGTAGATTTTTATGTTCGCAATGTTTATCGTTTTCCTGAACGGTTGGTATAGTTTAAATGACTGATTAGTGGAGGGGGGGATCTTGTTTACATTTTTTGTACTTCTTCATTTGTACATTTCATTCTTCTTTGAAAATTTTCGTCCGAGAAAAGATAATAAAAATTAGACAGTGGATTTCTGTGTAGAAAATTTAGACATGGAATGATTTAAAAGGGATTAAATCAACTATTAAAATAATCATATAATACTGGTTATTGACAGTTCTGTATACCTGCTTATTTGTTTTTATGGAAGTACATGGCATTTTCAGGACACAAAAAATACTTCAAAGAACTTTGAAATATTAGTACAAACACATTAATAAATTAAATTGAAATAAATAACGAGATGTAATTTAAAAGACAGAAATAATTTAATGTGAGAGTTTTAGATTTAAAAATTTGCACACACAAATGATTTATCAGATTTTATAAGGTTTTATTTCATAAATAACTTTGATTTTGAATATGGCATTTTAACATATAAACATGAGTGGATACTGAAAAAGTGATGAATATATAAGAATATTTTAATTTTCACTAAGTTTTCTTATTGAATAATAATTCTGACTGTCCAATGCGATAAGACTAGGGTCTAAGTTTGCATAAAAATTTCTCTGTTAAATAAAAGAATTCCACCATTAAATCCCAATTTTATCTAATCATTTCCTGAACATTATCCTGTATATAAATTGACTTCGTCTTTGTAACCGATAATTATTACTTGCAAATTATTCTCTTGCTGGTGAACAATTGACAACCCTTTCTATTGCTGAGTTAGGGTTAACAATCTTCGCTCTCGCTACCGCCTACCTTACGGAAATCGGCGTAAAATGCTGGTACCTGGGCTGATTGTGCGCATGCGCGAACGTAGGTGGTGTGAATAGCCTGTTAGCTACAGGCTATTCACACCACCTACGTCGGCTATTCGCACCGTCTAACACTAACAGGCTATTCGCACCGTCGTCACTGCGGGTGCGAATAGCATCGGCCCCTTAAACTTAGGTAGCACAAAGCGGGATTTTGGAGCGACAAAATGGAGGAGTAAGCACGTGCGCAACTCAACTCCTTTTTATTTGTAGCGGAAGTTTCTCGACGTAGAAATAAATCAAAACACATCGAAGCAGTTTGGTAGTAAACATGGCAGCAGAATATGGGGATTTACGTAGGAAATTGCAATTAACTCAAGACACGAACTGCAATAATACACGTAATGCAATGAAAGAGAAACAAATAGAAAGAAGAAGTTATTATGACAGAGAAGCAGACTCCTATCTTGATACTCTGAGAAAACTGCATGAAGGTATCCAGCAAAGAAGGCTGTTTTCAGACGAAGAAAGCAAGGCAATTGAGGATAAAATTGATGAAGTTGTGGCTATAGGAGAAAAAGGCTTATATAAAAAGCATACAGTTGATAGGGCTCCGCTGAGGAACAAATACTTCTTCGGCGAAGGATATACCTATGGTTCCCAGTTATTACGTAAAGGTCCGGGAATGGAAAAGCTATATCCCAGAGGCGAAGTTGATGAGATACCCAGCTGGGTTCATGACCTGGTGAGAACATTTTATTATCTTTTGCATTAGTAAATATTACTTAGAATTGTTCATTTTTTTTTAAAGTAAATGTAACTGCATTATCTAGACAGTTTAACTCTGCTAACATCGCAAAACTAGTAAAAGAGTGTGTGTTAATAATGATATAGAACTTAAAGATATTATAGTTGATAGTGTTAAATTTACCTATAGCAAATGATTAAAAGATTCTCTGCAAAATTTCTTGCTGTATTGATGCCTGTCTGTTGTAATGTAAGTAAACTTTGATACATTTGTAAAGACCTAAGTTTAATAGTATTGATAAAATAGACTGAGTTATAGAAGTTGAGTATATTTTGCTTAGGTAGTATGGTTTATTTAGCAAGACAGATTATCAGGAATATTTTCGGCAAATTTCGTATTGTATGTTTTATATGTTCATGTAGTATGTTATAAATGAGTTTTCTGTATATTATTCTGTATTTTCTTGATATGTTCTGGCATTATATTCTGTTTTCAAACTAGGACAAATTAAGATTTGTATCGGCATTACATTAATACAAAAACTATGCATTTTAAGGAAAGCAGGTATGGTATTCTTCACTTTATACAGTGTAGATTTTCTGTAAATCTGGTAGTAACAGGCTGAATATTTCAACCTTTGGAAAAATACTTTTGTTTCATAGGAAAAAAAGAAAAAGGATTTTTCTTTAAAATGAGTGTTTTATGAGTGGCCAAGAGGTTAAGGACATTGAATGCTAGGAGCTAAACATGATTTCAGTGTCGGGTGAATAGGCTAGTTGAGTGGTTGGTTTGTATGACTTTCCCCATTTAATGTAAATATGAACCAGTTTCCCTCAGAATGCCTTCGCTTAGACGGATAGCGCTTGTATGCTTTGCCCTATTCACATAACCTAACATTTAAAATATATCGAAGTTTTTCTGTAAAACTAATAATCAAAGCAAAGTTTTGTCTAATTGAATTCTTAGGCTTTCTGAGGCAAGTTTAAGAAGAACATGTCAACTTGTGCTATAATCAAGTAATTTGTTAATTAGGAGTTAATTGTAAAATTTAAGGAAATTAACTGCTGATTTTAGGGAAATGTTATGGGTAATCCTGCAATTGATTAATATGTTTATTAAAGTACTAGAAGCTTTAAAACATTAACCTTTCAGCTTGTTGTCATTATGACTATGCACTAGAAGGAAGCTGTCAGTATTTTCGATTGATTATTTTTGATTTGGCAGTATTTTGAACGGAAAAGTCCGAGTGCACAAATGATACACATGCACTAGACTGGCAAAAATCAGTCATCGGATTTTAACATCTGAAGCAGACTTTAAAATTATTCACCCATAATTTTTTTTTGTTTGTTTGCAGTTTCTTTTAATACTGAATTTGGTTGATCTTTACATTATGGTAACTTGGTGATTTTTTGGCGAAAATTTGGCAACCAACTCTCTTACAGCAACCCTCTATTTTTTTTCCCCGCCGCCATTTTGTCTTCACGAAGTAAAGACATGTTTCTTTTCTTATTTACTGAACACTTCTTCCAACAATCTACTAGCCGAATTACACTTATGCTAGAAATTTTATCAAACAAAACTGCTTAATCATGACAAATATTCACTGCAAAATTGGGAAAAAGTGCACAATACCATACTCCTTACGCGTTTTTCAAAATAACACATACACATAAACCATGTACACGCCGACTTATTTTTACTTTAAAAAACATCCCAGAATTGCACAAAAATGGCATTGCGCACCCTCTTCACTATATCCATGTACACTGCTTTTTTCTCATAAATTAGAAAAAATTCACGAAAATACATGACAATTTTCTCAATCTTTAAACCCGGTAAAAAGAACATATATGAAATTACCTGATCACGAAAAAGTATTTACCCTTTCCAAATATGAACATTTCCACATATAAAATAAATAAAATATCCAAAACTTTTACCTCTAAATCATCTATTACATTATACACGTCACCAATGAATTCATACCGCAAGCATTACAAATACTTAGTATCAAATATTTAAATTATTTCCATGCACGTTTATTTCAACTTAAACGTATACCAAATTCCTACAAACATAAAATTCACAAAATAACTATCATTTAATTAAAATATCACTAAACCATGTACACACGTCGACTTATTTTTACTTAAAAAAACAATCCCAGAATTGCACAAAAATGGCATTGCGCACACTCTTCACTATATCCATGTACACTGCTTTTTTCTCATAAATTAGAAAAATTTCACGAAAATACATGGCAATTTTCTCAATCTTTAAACCCGGTAAAAAGAACATATATGACATTACCTGATCGTGAAAAAGTATTTACCCTTTACAAATGTGAACATTTCCACATATAAAATAAATAAAGTATCCAAAAACTTTTACCTCTAAGTCATCTATTACATTATACTTGTCACCAACGAATTCATACCGCAAGCATTACAAATACTTAGTATCAAATATTTAAATTATTTCCATGCACGTTTATTTCAACTTAAATGTATACCAAATTCCTACAAACATAAAATTCACAAAATAACTATCATTTCATTAAAATAGAATTAAATTCAAAAAACACTCCTTAAAATATAAATGAGCACATACTATAAATTAATAAAAATTACCTTACAATCCTAATTACTTTATACTAAATCATTGCTAATAACAATTTTCCCAATAATACCAAATTCCTTTCCACCTTACATTTAGAACAATGCATAAAAATAATATCCTCAAATAATTAAAAATACTAACTTACCTAATCTTCTTCAAAATCTTGATTACGTGGCGGATACACTTTTCTAATTCATTCAATAAAATTATTAAAAGATTTTTTCTGCGAATTATTCCTCCATACTTCCTCCGCTAAATAAAAAGCAAACTTCTCTTTATCACAATGCCTAAATACCCATTTCGAATTCACTTTAGTTAGGGCCATGGGATCCAAAAATTAAACAACACTGTTTCACACAACACAGAATAAAGCTAAATACAAAATTTCCACATTTTTTCCCGATTTCCCCCCTTTTCCGATTAAAGAACCGTAATTCGTCCATTAATATCACATGACATATCCCATGATCTCTCATTTCCCTCACGCAAAATAATACGTAATCGGAACTGAGTACTGCTCACATTATTACCAAAGTCCCAGGTAGTAACCTTTATCGCCTCCAAAAATGTTGCCAAACTACCAGTTACCATATTGTAAAGATCAACCCTGAATTTAATATATTTTATACCTTTTTGTACCGTTTACATGAAGCTAATGTCTCACTCTTCTTATCCTTGATATAACTTTGTAGATCTTATGGTAATATATATATATGATGATGCTTAGTACGTTTTTAATGAGAAAAATTTAGTTTCAGTAAACAAATTACCATTTACTTCAGCAAAAAATTTAAAAAAAAAAAAAAAAAAAAGTACAGTTTCTTTTTATCAATTGTGCAATTTTTGTGGTGTTTATAATTAAGTTTCTGCAAATTTATCAGATTTTTATACTATTATGTATCATGAGTATTAGATTAAATTTGATGAACTTTTTTTCCTCAGTAGTTTATTTCTACCACTATTTACTTTACGTCCATTGTCATATGTATGTTTCAAAGATAACCGTAATGTTCTTATATGTACGTCAGCAGTAGACCATGCATGCAGTACTAAATCCAAGATCCAGCCTCATCAGGACTTCAATGATTCCAGATTTGGAATTTTTTCGGTTATTAGATCATTAATTTAAGTCTGGTAAGATGACATATAAATATTTAAACTAAAGATATGAAAGTGATTTATGAAAATATTAAAGGGAATCAAAATTTACAAATAAATAAATAACGTTATTAAGCATTTCTTTCAATGTAAATTGTTTAATTTGCTTCATTTTTTTTTTTTTTTTTTTTTTTTTTCCCGCACAGATACTTTCTCTTTAGTTCCAAAGATAGAGTTAATTTCTTATTTAGTTACAAATTTCCATTGTTCAAATCCTGTAATTGCTGCGTCAAGAATTCTTACTAAATACTCATATGAACTTTTTTCGTTTTCAACAGCCTCTTTGTCTTTTCCTTCACTGTTAGTAGCAATGTTTTCTAGATTTAGAATCTTAATACGGATTTTGTCGTCCGTTAGTTGATTGATGATCTAGGCATTGTCATCTCATTGAAAAATGGTAAAAGTTTACAGAAGAGTATCCTTTGTATTTTTAGTGATTTTTATAATGCCAAGAATAGTGCCAAAAAGCAGCATTTCCAAGATGGCTGTCATCCAAAACAGTGCTGAAGTTGCAAAAACAACAAAAGTACTCCCCTTGTGCGTTCTTGTCTACATTTCATTGTGTCAGCGTCGAATGACTGCTGAACACACAATAATGCAAATCATGTAGTCCTAGAATTGATTCTCTTCCTTCTGATCCCAGTATTAGCAATGTCACATAAACACTGCAAAGTAAGAATACTAAATATCATCCAACAACTGCCGAAGATCCCACTTGTGAAAACTTGCACTAAATGTGGCTCCGTATGCCCTCAGTGGTGTTGGTATGAGTGTCAGTTTTGAATGCCCTTTCTTGTGACAAACCCACCCATAGCTATCCAATTGATTCTTAAGCTTGACCAGATGCATATGTTTCATACAACTTGAAATTCATCGTGAGAACTAATTCAATCTTCATTCATATACCAATCATTTATAGCTTTCGTACACTTTTTCTGTAAATCATGAAAAAAGAATATTAATCTTTCTAAACATACTTCTTTGTGGAAATGATGAGACTGTAATTAATTAGAACCAGCCAGCCAATGAAAACCAAAGGTTAATGGCAATTAAAATTGTAATAATTCAAAATGCGAGATTTGTGGCATGTGATACACGTACTTCATTTCACTTAGCCCTCAATCACTAAAGTAAGACGTTCTAATTAGATTAAACTTAAGAAAAACATTGGCATATAACAAAAAAAAAAAAAAAATGTTGTTATAACATTGGGCAAA